AAGGATAATCTCCATCCTTTGCTATAGAAATTTGATTTCTCTTGAGCAATCTCTTCTGTAAAAAGATTTTCAAGTAGGCTATAGTACAATACTACAATCTATTCAACACCTAACTATAGTCAAACAAGCATTAAATAATATCTTAGTCATAACATCTATGAGTATTTCGACATATTAGATAATTAGATCACTCCTAGTCAAATCTAATTCTTCCAGCTCTGGCTCACAGATTCAAAACACACTAATTTCAAGATCACTAATCCAGTAGGAAACCAATAATCACATTCAATGCAAGTCTAAGATAGCTGCAGCAAACTGGCCTAATCTATAGTAACTGCAAGCAAGTCTAGTCTACTTTGATAATTGTGGCTTACTAAAGAAAAAATCTGGATGTACAAATAGTAAACTAAATCCTTTCAACAAAAGTTGAGATTAGGATCAACTAGAGATTATAAAGAAAAATTTGATGATCTAAAGATAGAAGAAGTCAGACTAGCCGCTAGCCTACACAATTAGTCACATTACATGATCAGATTTAATACTATATCAAATGAACCATATATAAACCAGTTCATGCTAGAGCAAGAAAACCCATCTAAGTATGAATTTCTGCGAACTGTCATTAACCAAGATTCAGTATAAAATTTGACCCAGCTTCTAATTTCTAAAAAGAACTAAGATTCTTAGCTGATTCCACAATCATGACTATATTTCAGAACAAACCTAATTAAGTCTCACATGCAATAAGAGACTTTTCCCTATTTCTACCAGCTCCATGCTCCATATTTGATGGTAATTACTAGAAATTGGCTAGATGACGTTTACTGATATAGTGATATGGTAATAAGAAAAGAAGAAATATATCTACTGCATAGGTGAAAAATACAATTCTTGAAATAGTGATATTAAATTATTCACCCGACTGTAACAGAACATACTGGCGAGTCAGATACTTCTTGACAAAGTACACCTTTCCAACATCGACAGTGGATGCAAAACAGCAGCTTGAATGGAAGACGTAATCTTACCTTCTTTCTGGAAGAAATATGCCAAGTTTCCAAAGCACCAGATTTTAGTTTTTTTCTCTCTGATTCATACGACCGACGTTTTGCCTTCTTACTAGCATCAGATATATATGATTTCTGTGTTCCAATAGCAGTGCGCCACTGCCGGGGTAACAAGGAAGGATCTCTATAAGGAACAATAAACTTCCACACAGACATCCAATCAAGCTTGAACACCTTCAGGCCCTGCGTAATCATGACCATGTAAATAGTGAAGCAGCGACAATGGAAATGATGATACTGTGGAAATGTATGTTGCCATGTAAACTTACCTCTTCAATACGTGCAACCTCTTCTGCTGTCAAGGGAGAGTTTTTCATCCTCCGAACAGCCTACAAGAGTCATTACAACATTATTTACCATGATCTGAATAACATCGAGAATAATCCATCAAAAAATGCAGTCCTAGCAACACATTTTAAAAATACTGAGTAACTGCAAGAAAAGATCATGATTAATGGATGCATTGTGATTGCAAGTTGTAACTTGATTTGATGAGTCGGGAAATCATTGTAGAGTTAAAGACATTCTTGGAACAGTTGAAGGAGTGGAAGAGAGATCATCAATTTCAAGCTGGCTTCAACATCTCCAGCATGTCCCAAGTCCCAACTGATAGAATGAACAGATTGGGGAAGGGCTTTTGCTGGAACTTTTGTGGCAGTTAAAATAAAGCCATAATGTTAACACTATGATTGTTTCTTAATGTTCTATGTGCAATACTGACACTAGTAATAAACCTTTATTGGATTATCAGGTGCTTTAGATGATGAGCGATTCTTCTGTCGGACAAAAATCTGCAAAAAGGGTCAAGTATTTCACCATGTTAAGCACAAGTTTAACTCTAAAACTACAATGAAATCAAGAGGATAAATAACTGACAACAGAGTTGTTGCCATCGAAAGTGCACATAAGAATCACCTGATGCTTAGATTTGCAAGGAAGATACCGCTGCTGAATTGCTTTCCAATCTGTATTATACTCCATCAAACCCAATGCTAATAATCTGCACCAGATGCCAAGGTTATATTACTACACTAATCAATAAAGGTAAAACCAAAACATCAACATATGGGTAAATGGGGATCATCCATAATATTACAACTTTAAGAACCTTGTAGGGAATTGATGAAACTGCCTTAGTGAAAGACGAATAATACATTGTATTTAACAAAAGCACAATGAAAAGACTAGTGAAATCTTTATTTCAGAACAACTGCTAGGTTTTCACAGATATAGGTAATTAGCTTCACCCAGTTGTTTTCATACTTAATAGATGTAACAGAATTCTTTTCCTCTTTACGACAACACCTAATATTGTGTCATGCTGAGAAATAAGTTGCAAAGATCATTTACTTGGGAGAAACTTCAGAATGCATTTTTTCCATAAGATGTGAATCCCAACATTCCAACTTTGCAACTATGAACCCTAAAAAATTCACTACTTTCTCATTATCATGCTGAAAAATAAGTTGTAAAAGAGATCATTTATTTGGGAGCATTTTCAGAATGCATTAACTTTTCATGAGATGTGAATTCCAACAATCTAACTTTGCAAACTCCGAACCCAAACTAAAATCACTACTTTCTCTTTTCTTCCTATAGCAAGGAGCTTAATTCACCACCTATCACCATGGCAGAGACTGACGAATGTGGAGGAGATGAGCAATACCAACTAGCAAATGCAAGCAGGCACCAAAGTCACAACAATTTTACAATCACGGCCTAGTCAGTAAAACAACTCATTTCATAAGAATACTGGTGTTGCACAAAAATAAAAGGACATAAACTCACTCATCCTCTGCATCAGTAAAAAGCAGTCGGTTTGCTACCATTGCAGGGGGTGGCTTATGGGGATACAGAGCAGGATTAAACAAAGGATAGAAGCGCTGAGCTAACTTAGCAATCTCATTTGGAACAGAAGCAACTGCCTGTTGTTTAGCTTTTTCTACTAATACAGCAGCCAGAGTCTTCTTTGATTTTCGAGAAATTGATGAAGAAGGAGGTACAACGTTTGAATACAAGGAAGCACGACCATCAGGTTCAGCAGTAAAATGAATATTTTGCACAGGAAACAAGGGTTTCTTCTCCGAGCAGCTGTCAATCAAACCTCCTACTTGCCGACATTGGTAATCTTGCACAGCTGTCAATAAATATCACCAGTGATAAATTAAAGTAAGTATCATAAACTGAAAAGAATAAGAAAATCAAATGAAATTTAGTGTTCTAACATGATATACCATGAGAAACGTCATCCATGAAGTCTTTAACTAATTTGATTGGAGCCACATCAAGAACAGATAGTATTGGACCATTTATATAAGGTACCCAGGAGCCTAAAGGGCATCCCACCTGATTATTTGTAATAGCTTCATGCCTTCCTCTTGAAGGAGAAATTCTTTCAAAAGGCTGCACCATGTTAAGTCCAGATGAGCAGTCTCGCTGCAAATCATGTGCTGAAGACATTTTGTTGGTAATTTGGACAGGCGAAATATGCAAAGGTTCATCAGATACCGAAGGACAAACATACGGGGAGAAGAAGCAAAAACTGGGATATGGCACACTCCTACTTGCTAATACTTCATCACGTTTACGAAGCATTTGAGAAATCAATTCCCCAACATTAGAAGCAATGTGCCGTTTGGCCGGCTCAAGAACACAAACAGCAAAAACCTGAATAAGAAGTTGAACATGCTCATGTATCAAACAATGTAATTGTCCTATCTGATGGGGTGTAAATCCATTCACAAAGCCATCATTTGCAGGCAGCAGACTGGATGGAGGCATCGTGCCTTTCGCACCATGTACGGAATAAGGAGAAATGGGAAGATATGGTAACAAAGGGCGTAGTGGCCTATCTGGCAATCCTAAAATCTTATTCTTGTTCTCAAGAGAAGATCTCTGGCGCCTGGTTTGCCTGGTCTTAGGTCTTCGACCAACAGCCTCGTACTCTTCAATATCATCCTTCAGATGTTCATCAAGGTCACTCTCCAATGCCTCCTCAATTTCAAGCTCAAAATCTGCATCATTGTCTTCATCTTCATCATCAACATTTTCATTATCTTGTATATTTCCAGAATTTCCATCTCCACCATGTAAAACAGCTGCAAGAAACTTCCTGTACTCTTCTTCATCGTTGACATTCTGAAGATCATCCTCGTCATCAGTCTCCTGAAGAAATGTCTCAAGTTCATCAAGTGTAAAGCTAGCAAGTGAGTAGCGTGCTCTAGTACGCTTACATATAGCATCCTCATTATCCATATCTATGATGGATCTACCTGAATTTGCTATACTGTTACACCCTCCAACTGAAAGATCCTCAATGTGATCACCCCCTCCATTCAACACAGTCTTCTTGTTATTTGAAATTCCACTTTCAGGTTCAATATCTAGAGTGGATTCTCTCTCCTTAGGTTCAGAAGACGAAATTTTCCTCAAGTCTTCTGGACAAGCCTCAGAAGAAGCTCTATTTCGCATCACAATCTCCTCACCAAGTTCTTTGTCATCAATGAGACAATCCTGTGAAAAATCTGGCAATCTTTCTTCGCAACAAACTCTCAACGATTCATCAATGTTCTCCCCACTGTCAACGGCATCAGCATCCAGACCTTCGATTTCTGAGCTCAAGCTTGAAGAAGCGTCTAGAGAGACAGTTTCTTTTAACAAAGGATTAAAATCCATATCCTCGTCCTCATCTTCATCATACTCATTCTCGTTGTCACCCCTGTCACAATCACCATAAAGGTGTTCACTCTTTTCTTCATCAGCCTCTTGTTCTCGAGGACTTCCATTGTTGGATAGGTTGCCGCGTACCATGAAAAAATTATCCTGATTGGACTCCTTAACTTCAGTAGATAATGCAGTTGAGCTCAAAGACATCTTCAGCACAATATTTGAAATAGTTTATACCGAGGAACACTGACAAACATTTAACTAAACAACAACTCAACTGTATCATCAAAATGACAAATATTTGCCTCTTCCTCTAAGAGGATCCTCCACATCAGCCTGTTGACATAGAAACCAACTCAAATTTTACACTTTTACATGATTTCATGGTGAACATCAAAAAAAAATGTTTAACTTTTTTCAATTTTTAGAAAAAACAGTCGGGAATATTTACCTGAGGTCTATATGAAATTCAATGGTTATTATGGAACTAACAATTGAACAATGGCTTCAGAAACAAAAACTTGCGGTTCGCCCAAAGCTCCAGCTGTTTGGAAGAGGTGATTAAACCACTTTAATTCCTCCAAAACTGCTTCTTCTTATGCCAATTTGCTGCTGTAACGTCGCCAATTCATGTAAATTATTGACAAAGATGAATCAAAATACCTAATTGATCGTAGAGAGCGTTCAACCATGGCCGATCAAACACATGCCACTGCCAGATAGAAGGATTTTGCGTTTTGGATTCGGAAGGTGAAAATTGAGACCCGGAAACCCAGTTGGGTGGGTACAGTGTGACTTTACGCTTTTGCCCAATTTTATTTTATTTTTGATGAAACGTGCTTTTTGTTTTCCTCAGTAAAAGCTTCTATTCTTTCTACAAGATATAAATACACCAAATCAAAATAATCCTTAATTTAATGCTAAGAGTAAAACACAAAAAATATATTATTTTTTTTTCATAAGTTAAAAATGAAAAATAAAAATAAAAAATTATTTTTCAAATAATGAACAAGTAAAAATGAATACAAAAAAATAATGAGAAAAAAAAAGATATATTGTATTGTATTTTAGGATAAAACAATATTGGAATTTTCGCATAGAGCCACTAATTGCACTCCATAGCAATAGTTTGTTAATTACAATTTGTAGCTACATGTTATAGGGAGGAGAATGGCGAGTGAGATTGGAAGAGAGAGGAGAGAGGCGAGTGAGGGATGGAAGAGAGTGGGAGAGGGGGTGAATTGCATATGTATATCGGTTAGATAATTGTATATTATACATATGTATTTGTATATATGGTAAGCGAGATTGGGAGAGGGAGGAGAGAGGATAGCGAGAGAGGGCAATAATTTGTATAATTCGCATCTCGTTTGTATAATTCGCAGGTACGTTTGTATAATTCCCGTGTTTTTGTATAATTGAGTAATATAAAGTCTAAAATTATACAAATATGATAAAACTTGAAATAATAATTGATACACATATGAACTTTAAACAATTATACAAATTACATTATATAAATTATATTATACTAAATCTGAAAACTACACGTTTATACAAACTTTAAAAAGTTATACACAAAAAGATTGAATGTATAGATAAAACTGAAAAACCAAAGGAAATCATTGTCATATACAAATACAAACCATCGTATACAAATACAAATCAAATGAAGAATTGTTAGTTGTGAATTATACAAATGTGGCGAATTATACAAACGTGATTAATTATACAAACTCGAAATCAGCCCACGTAATTAATGTATAATGTTAGTCAGGAGTGGTAATTATAGCAAACTATGTCTATGATGAGTAATTAAGTAGTATAAATTTACTTAACCGCATAATTTTCCCCAAAAATATTACAAATTTTTAACTTTTTTAAAAAGAGAAATCCATGATCAAATATCATTTTAAATTTTGGCAATACGTAACACTATAATATAATTGCACTATTTTTAAATTGGCTATGCTTTAAATAGCAGTCTTAAAAGGTTCTACTTACGCAAATAGACCCAAAATTTAAACTAACGACAACGCAAGCCCAAACCCGAATTCATCTCCGGTAATGTAATACGACATTTCAATTCACAAATAGCAAGGTTTGAGTCTAACTAGGGTTTTGCTTGCAGAAGAGTAACTCGTCGGAGAAACAGCAGCAGCAGCCATGGCTAGCACCAAAGTACAGAGGATTATGACCCAGCCCATTGTAAGTATCTTCCTTCTTTCCCATTTCTTCGTATGAGCAATTTTATCTTCGAACACTTTTTGCGCTAAATTTGGGATTTTTTTGTTTTTTTTTTACAGAATCTGATCTTCAGATTTCTTCAGAGTGTAAGTTTACTATTATACGTCTTTGTTTAAGTTTAGGGTTTTTTTTCAGTAAAACGACTACACAAAGGCTTAATTTCCAATTACTGTTTGAGTTATAATTTATGTGATTATTTTTTTTTTGCAGAAAGCGCGCATTCAGATATGGCTATTTGAGCAGAAGGATCAGAGGATTGAAGGACGTATTATTGTATGTTTTATTTCTTGTTCTCCAGTTCAAAGAAGAAGAAAACATAATTATTTTTTGCTTATAATGAATTTCCTCTTACCAATGTTTGTGCGACTTACTTTCTGGTTCATTCTCTTAGTTGCTAATTAATATTCCCGTAGCGCGTGCAGTAAACTAAGTTATTTCCCAGAGTAAATTCAGCATAGAATTTAGAGGCAACGCCTCCCATTTTCGTTTAGGTATGGATGGAATTGCTTTATTTATTTCTTATATAATGAGTAAAGATCCATAGAGTTTAGTATATCTGATTTTGAATGAGCTGATAAATGTGCTGCCCAGGATAGAATTTTTGGCTATCAGATTTATCATTAAAATGGTTTCAAGATAATAAAGGTGCATAATTTGGATGTACTAAGGATAAATTCCCAACAAAGGAATGAGGCAGTAAAAGAAAAAGAGAAACTTGACTAAATCATCTGGCTTTCGGAAAGCTAGGAGAAAAGCAGTTTCAGCTCATATACCTTTAACTATCAACTAATTATATTTTACAAGTCATGTAGCCTTTATTTATTTTTTAAATTGCAATATAAATACTACCAAGCATCTAGCTTCATTGTTGTCATGAAAACTTCCATTCCATGTAGCAAGCTTGTAAGGCATACTTGACATATAGGTATAGATTTTAGATTATGGCTCACTGTTAGTTCCTATTGCTGAGCAGACAGTCCTATCTAGTTGGACCAGACCAAATAAATGCTGTATTCTTATGTAAAGTCTAGTCTTAGTGAACACGTTTATTTTAGTTTGCTGTGTCAATGCTTGCATATACTTGAATTTGGGATAGACTGGACTGCTCAGAGTTGAAAGGAGCAACTCTAATTTTCTAAAGAAATGTTATAATTAAATATCCACATTGTATAGCCTTGTGTTAGAAGAGCTATAACATTTTCAATTGTAGTCATTTTAGGAAGTGTGGGCCAAAGGATTGAGGAAGTGTGTTCTGGGCTTCTGGCTTAAAACCTAGGGCTATTTTTTGATCATTGATTCCTAAGTCAAATCTACATTATGGGGATTATTGAGAAATCATATGTTTCCATGCGTGATTTTTAGATTTGATTTTGAGTATTTTTTGGCCTTCAAATTCATTACCTATTTTTCTGATTATTGCACCATGCACTTCAAAGTCTAGAATTTTTCATCCACAGCTGCAAAACATAGTGCTAGTTTTATTGATACTTAGAATCCTCGATATCTTGCATATAATCATAGCCATATATTCCAACGGGTATGTATTGTATAACCTTTCTACACAACCATCCTCACTTCTTTCCAATTCCGTTTACTACTCTTTCCTTGGAACATCAAATTAACTCTAAAAGAAGCCTGCTTTAATGTGAAGATGTACCTAGAAAAGTTATTGTACGAACCTCAGAGAACTTGGATGCTGATCTATTTTGCTGCTTGTGTAGTTTCGATTTCCCAAGCTGTGGTTCTTGGTTAGGTGATGTGGATTGTACATATTGTTGTCAAGATTTCATAGGGGCTTGGGAAGCTTGTTAGACATCATATGACTGAATAAGCTTTGGCACTAGCTTAATTTGGTCCCTTCTAATGATGTAGGTCTTCTAAAATCTGTATCTATCATTGCGTTAAATTAGTTTTTGATGAAGGTTGGTTGCACATGTTCTCTGCGAGCAGACAAAAAAATGATTTCTGATGGATGTGTCTGAGTTAAATCTTTTGCATGACACACCTGCACTATGTGCTTTTTTGGATAGAGTTGTACATCAGTGCACTTTGGAGAATATAGAAGTATTATTATTGCTGCTAACTTTTTTGTGTGGCCTCTTAAGATTTTTTCTTGGCTTTTGGATTTAGGTTATATTTCAACTCACGATTAGTTGTTGAATGGGAGATAATTTGTTTTTTTTTTTTTTTTTTTGTGTAGGGTTTTGATGAGTACATGAATTTGGTTCTAGATGATGCCGAGGAAGTCAATGTGAAGAAGAATAGCAGAAAGCAGTTAGGTGGGTAGTAAATAACTTTCAACCCAAGGCCTAGCCCTTTTCTCCCTTAGAATTACAAGGAAAAATCATATTCTCTACAACTTTTGTCTCTAAAATGTCTTTGTTTCCTCGGCAGGGCGGATTCTTCTGAAAGGAGATAATATCACATTGATGATGAACACGTATGTTATTAACTCATTGCTTTACCTTTTTTCCTGATGCACCTGAAAACATATTTAATAACAAATAGCTTATAACTGCCATTATGAAATCTCTCCCTTTGGCAGGGTAATGCTGATATTTTCATTTGTTTTCTCTATTTAGGGGGAAATGATTTCATGTTAGCTGGATCTTGTGAAGAAGTTTGATTTTTTCTGGCAAAAATCAACTATTGAAACAACAAGTCTTTGTGGACAAGGAGCAGGATGTTAGACGCAAATCATTGAGTTTGAAGTTCTATTTATGTTTTGATATATGTATATTCAGAATGGTATGCTCAGACCTCTTTATACAGTGAAGAAGAGTAGCCTTATGACCATTTCTCTCTATGTTGGTAGTATTGTAGTCACAATTATATTGCAGGTAAAGAAGTGTGTTAACTTGAGAAAACTATGGGATTTTCATGTCTAACATGCCAAGTTATGGCACTTGTGGTGCATGACTAAGTTTACATGTGATTCATTCTCAATGTTATCGTTACAAATTCATCAGAGAAACTTCTTGTCTCACCAAAATCATATGCTCGTTTTTGGGACACTTCAGGGAGAAGATCTTTTGTGAAGAATGAGTCGCAAGATTTCAATGTTGCAGGATAAATGTGATTATTATCGACATAAAAGATTACCCCTCGAAAGGGTAAATTAGATATTGAAAAGCCAATAATTGAATTGTCAATTCGAACCTCTCCAGCTGGGTCTGGCTGCTATTCCGTACGTCCTTAGAGACATCTTAGAAGGTAGGTAGGTAGGTACCCAATTACCCACTGTCGAGAAAAATGGGTAGCTTTTTTAAAATATTCAAGTTAGTTAAAAAGAATATTGAAGTTGAAATTTAAAAGATTTGTGAAAGTAATTGTTTTAGGACAACAATGTTACCTGAATTTTTTTTTTTGGAGAAAGTTGAAATTTGTATAAATACTTGCCGTTCAAAATTAATTTTCAAATCATTATTTAATATGCAGGCTTTTAGACAATTTTCGGTTGAATCAAACATTAAATAAGAGCATTTAAAAATTTCTAAACATGAATTTAAATTGGGGAAAAAAGTTGAGAGTGTACGATTAAAAAATTTTGTTTCTCTTAATATTTGTCAAATAAATTTTCTAATATTTGTAAATACTAGGGGTAAATTCAGCATTTATTTGGGGAAACTATTTATAACCAAACAGTGTTATATATTAGTGCCAAAAAAAAACAAGTTGGCATATGTAAAGGGGCAGAGAGGTTAAAGACAACAAACTGCTGCTACTCTGTTTTGCTAAAGGCAGCTGCTGGGCACAACACTGTTCTTTTCAGTGATCAACAATTTGAAGTACGGTATGCTTCCTTTGTTTTCTTCTTCAACCTTTTTTTTAATCATATAGCGGGTAGGGGAAGTGGTATCGGGAAGGGGATTACAAGGTGGGAAATTGGACTCTCAGTAATAAGGTGAAAGTTCAGGTAGTCAATCAACTAGAGCTACTAAGATCCCGTTTTTCAACTTTAGTTTTTCAACCATATGTAAGGAGTCACCTTCACTTTGTAAATGTTTACATTTCTTGAGTTCTTTTTCTTCCCATTTTAACTATCTGTTGGTTGAGATTTCCTGATGTGTTTCCAACTTTATCATTGTTGATTTGTTTCTCAAAGACTCAAACATTACATATTCATGTAGTCTTGCTTAGTGGCAGCCATAAAGGCAGAATTTTCACCAAAGATGTTCATCTATTATATACTACTATGTATTAAGAAAAATTTATCTGGTATATATAAAAAAAATAGGAGTTTGGATGAACCGCTTCTGTACCTCTAGCTTCTTCCATGCTTGTGATTATGTCCTCTTTATAGGAAAAAAGATGTTCCTATATACTTTTACACTATTTTTTTTTATGCTTTCATAAGAGCTTTGCACCTTTTTAGTTACCTTGGTGACTCGAATCCACAATCTTAGGATTAGGGTTGGAGGATGTTTATCATCTAAGTAATCCCTCGTCTACCCCTATCATTTATTATGGATAGTATCTCTTTGCATTATTTACTTATTGTATTGATTGATGAAAGAAGGCGTAGTAAAATGTTATGTTTTTGATGGGTAGGCCCTGTTTTGCCTGCTGAAATGGAAGCAAAACTGAAAGTAGAGAAAACTGGTGCTGCTTCAAAGCATTCAAGGAAGGGAAGCTTCAGTAGACCCTCTTGGCTTCTTTGCACTATTGCTGGTAATTACATGCTGTAATTTTCTTTTACATGTTCATTCAGTAGTTTTAGTTCAAACTTTGTATTTGTGTTTCAAAATCCACTTAATATGTGCGTAAATAAATCTAAAATTCATAACGCATAAACTCAAAATTCTAGCGATTATTACGAGTCCAAATGTTGGACTAGTGTGAGACACAGAGAAAGGGGGTGGGGATATGGGGTCCATTATTTTGTATTTATCTTTCATTTGGAAGTGTATGAAGAGAAGGTGTCATGTGATATGAAGTGTCGTTTTCTTCTCATATATGATAAACCTATGCTTATTTCAAAAAAGGTTATGTCCTTTTGCTACTTTTTCTGTTTCTGTCTGAGGCTTAAAGAGTATGCAAAAAACGCTTCTTTTTTTGAAATTTGAATGGTAGGACCTCCCTCTAAAAGGGATGTATCTCACCACTCTGTTGTGTTGCAGAAAGAAAATAATGTTTGTTTTCTCAGCAGAATTAACAGTACCTTTAATCCTTCTGCCCGGTTGGCAGATCTCACCATTGGGTTCATAGATCCGGTCTAATCCAATGTTTCAAAGTCAAACCTTTTATATATATATATATGTGTGTGTGTGAATATGGATAGAATTTAGTAATTAGTATTCACTCCGTCTCATTTAATGTGACATTGTTTGATCAGGTATGTTGTTTAAGAAAAAAATAAACACTTTTGAAACTTGTGGTCTGAACAAATCCTTAAATATATTGTACTTGTAATCATTTCATTAAGGGCAAAAGGAAATTTTTTTAGTTAAAGTAAGGTGAAATTTTTTTGGGACGAATTAAAAGGCGAAGGATGTTATGTAAAAATGAGATGGAGGGAGTAATACATTAGAAAATTATCTTACTCGACTAAAAACTTACAATGTCTAAACTCTGAATCAACATCTAGCTTTTAGGTACAAAAAATCTAATGCACTCTGATATCCCGAAAAAAACTATTGTTATCCCATGTGCGGAGAAAAAGTATGGATAGAGTTTAATATATATTTGAAAATAAACTCTTGACTCAAGTATGATCTGTGTACACTCTACCTTCCCCGACTTCACTCATGGAATTACAGGATATGTTGTTGTTGTTGTAAATGTATGGAAAATGATAAGTTAATGAATAGGTAGCAGTTATCTTTATTTTTTTGAATTCAAACTACTAATTTCATTGTCAACATCTGTCACTGTTGCTCATGGTCCAGGCAAGAGCTAAAGGGTCCATTTTTAACTTGGATTTCATCAATCTAAAAGATGTGTAGAATTCAAATTTTCAAATGCTTCACTTGTCAAGTCAATATCATATATCTATTTGATTGGATTTTGGTTTTTTCTTCAGATTTGGACAAGAAGATGAAGAAGTTGGTTGTGAACGTTCCCAATATAGATGGTGCTGACAGTTTTACAGAACGCGCTGATGCTTACTACCAGAAACGGCCACAGCTTCTGGCCTTACTTCAAGAATTGTATGACAACTATCTCTCTTTGGCAGACCGCTATTGCCAAGCACTTGCCAAGAACCATCATCGTCGAAATTCCTTTCCTATTCCATCCTTGCATTTTGATCCTGATAATGATGATCAATTTGACAAGGAAGAGAACAATGGATCGGAGATTGTTGATTCTGATGCTGAGAGCTCATTATCATATCAGCCTCCATTTCCATCCACACAAGCCAAATTGGAACCAGATATGATCATTGCAGACTTGGTGATCAGAAGTGTTGACTGTGAAATCATCCTGCACGAGCTTAGTCAAGTCGACAAGCTTTGCAACGAGTCATCAAGGAAGATAGAGTTGCAGGAAAGCTTATTGGAGTTGTTGGAATCAGAGAGATTGATCTTGTTAAATGAGAACGCGAGATTGGGATACAAAGTGGCTTCATTGATGGAGGAGAATAAGGGATTGTCTTCAGAGTCTTTGTTCATGAAGAGGAAGGTAGCTGAGCTTGCAAGGTGCATGCTAAACAGGAGGGAGGATCATAGAGTTTGCATGCTTAGTCGAAAAGTTGAGGATCTTCAAGGTCAGATATTTGGATTGGAGAGTAGGAACAATGAGTATTATGAGCAGCTACTGAAGCATGAAGAAGAGAAAAGGAGCAAGTCTAAGATGGGGTTGAAGGGTTGCTTTAAAGTGCCTGAAGAGGCTGGTGTTGGCAATGCCAAAAAGGGTGAGAAGCAGAAAACTATTGGTGCTGAAGTTGGAAAGAAAGTTCCTAAGTTTTGGGACAGGGTTAAAAAGCTTGATATCTTCCTTTGTGCACCTGAATTCAACTAAACCTATTGTTAACATGAGAAAAAAGGGTGTTTCGACTTAAAGTTTGCTGCATAAAAAAAGATAGCTTTTCACCACACTAAGTTCTGAAACACATGTTGTACTTTGAGGGATCGTTTGGTAGGAGTGTATAAGAAAAGTAAGTATTGAATAGAGTGTATTAGTAATACTAGGAGTAATAATGCTGGGACTATTTCACATTATTCACTGTTTAGTTTAGTGTGTTAAATGCAGTTTTGTCTTTACTCATGCTTATACATGTGTTAATAGCTCGTGTATTGTTAAATATCAAGGTTTTTTATATATTAGTTATATGCAACCTATATTATTGAATAGGGTGTATTATTATACATAGGCTAAAAATCCTACCAAACAAAAGATTAAATAATACTATGACTAGTACATCCTACCAGACAATCTTTCAAAGAGTATACGGGGCTGAGGCTGATTATCTAGATTTCAATGGTCACCTTGAAGGCTCGAACCGTGGAAGAAAATGCAAGTCTACGTCTTTTAGTCTGCAACTGTAAATTTCTAACTTGGCGAGTATTTTTGCATTTACTAGGTCTATGAATACATGCCACTGAAATTCCCAAGAACACTAACAATGTCTATGCGAACTATTATCTATCTACTTGCACTCCCCTACTCCGTGCAGCTATAGGTGCACTTGCTACAGTTGAGTGAGTCGTATTTTCATGGGCTAAGTTGACACCCAGGCTTACTATGAAACTAGCTGTCTTCAATTGACATCTACTAAAGGGCACAGGGCGCATAATCACCCGACTTTCAAGACCTTTTATGTTATTATGTAGAGAAATACCAAAAAGGAAAATAATAGGCACTTAAATAACTAGCCATGCTCTTCAATAACAATTGTTCAATGCCACAATTCCACAAACATCACTTGCGAATAAACTACTGTTAAACTGACAACTGAAATTTAAATGAACATCAAGGTCAAAGCCAAGCCAAGCCAAGGTGGTGATAAATCACAAATATAATTTGAAAAGACATTACTACCAGCATGTCAATCAATGCCCATATCATATAGCCTGGTTAGAGAGGACTTCTAACAATAGAACATCACCCTTTTGACATTCTCCTTGAGAGCAGGAAGGGGCCTTACAGCAGCACCGACACCTGGTGCTCGTGTGCTCCTTCCAACTACACCACCTCTGTACGGAGCAGCTCCACTTGTGACAGATTCACTATCAGATGTCTCTGGTTCCATGTAAAAACGAGCACGGAAAGCTGCCAAATGTGCATAATAGGCTGGAGGAACTGCAAACAACATCAATGAACTCAAGTTCACTAACATGCTATGATGAACAGGTTACATACAAAGAAAATCCACAAAAGAACCGGGGAGAGAGGGGTTGGATTGGGCATCGAAAATAGATGCTAAAGAAAAGCCATTAACAAGTGCAGTGAACATACCAATGGAGACGGAACGAGTACACCTAGCATATCTGAAAAAAACAAGAAATGATTAAAGCCCATCAGAATGCTGGAGATTTAAAGAACTATGGAAGCTCTGATTCAACTTACGTATAACAAAGGTTGTTGGTCAAAGACTGCAGCCCGTCAGCAGAGAAATTGTTCTCATCCCACAAGACATGATAATGTGCTGGCCGGCTAGTACCCTGCAATACCACAAAATCTGGAAACTTGCAACCGAGTCCTTTATACATGACTATCATATTTTTATAGAATATCTATGTTATTACCTGTATGCCGGCATGGCTACAGAGATAGAAATCAAACTCAGTAGGGTGGCAGATCTTTGAATCAACCACAGTACCTTCACAATTACATTTAAAGAAGGTTTTAGGATCATTTGCAGCTATTATAGAATCATCAGAGATACTGAGATTAACACTCACCAGGCAAAATGTTCCCACTCCGATCAACAGCATTTCTATCACGGTGGTTGTTGGCAAACAACCTTGTGTGGTGACGCTTTTGAACCACGACAAACGTAACTGGGGGCTGATAGTTGGGTTCTAAAGATGCACAGGCCTGAATTGGATTTAAGTCGGTTCAGAACTTCTAACAAGTAAAAGGGAAAGCTTGTTTCTAGCCATCCTCATCGTCCAGAAAATAGAAAGAAATTCTGAGTTGATAATAAACAGGCAGACTAAGATATAGCAAAAAGGAAAATACCTTGCGGATTGCATCAAGTTCAAAAAGAAGCACTTGATAAAACTGTCCCTCACTAACACCATCTCTGAGGGGGGAAAAGACTATTAATTTCAGCCCAAGAGGAAAAAGAAAATTGCAAAATGCAGCCATAGAAGGGTTAATCATCAATACCGGTAGAATATTATTCTCTGAGGCTTCTGTCCAGTCGCTCGACGGAAAGAAATAAGCAGTTCCCTGAATTAGAGATAAGATAAGAGCATCAATCAGAAGTGAAACTAAGTCCAGTTGAATAAAAACTCGAACATTAGGGCATGTTCTTTCAAAAAAGGGAGGGAAAAGGACAATACTTTATCATGCCACCAGTCACAGTTCCTCTAGTTGGATCTTGCCAAGTTTTGTACAGATCTTGTATAAGCTCCTGCCTATGAGCTTGAGCAGAAACCAGACCAGCATACTTAGTAATCTCAGGCCAATCTTGAGAAGCAACCACCTAAAAGATGTGAAAATTGAGCACTATATTTGCTTTGGAGAAATAGATTACCAAGAGGATCAAAGAAACCAAAAGAATGAAGTACACAACAACCTACCGCAGCAATGGACGGGCTAGAATCCTCCCCAGGGTGGGGATGGGTGACATCTGCACCAAAAATAATAGTTGGGCGGTCGCTGACAAGGGGAATTCGCCTAGAGATCGCATCAACAAGCACGGTGTTTCTTCCTCCAACTTTCACATTAATCTTAAGGGACACATTGGCTAAATACTGCTTGCTCATCTTAAACACGTGTTTTGTCAAGCAGCATTGCGAGACAATGCCAAGATCAGTTTCACAAATCCGTTTTAGATCACCTAGAAAAAGAAATAAAATATTTCAGCTGTAGCATATTCCAGGAGCTTGCAAAGAAACACTACATGAATTTCACCATTCTTGGCCTGTACCATAAAGGGAGCCATTATTGTCGGGCAATATGACGATCAACAGATCGAGCTCCCTCCCATTCGGCTGCAACTTCGTCATAGCATCATGAAATCGAGTTTTCAAGACCCTCTCAACTTGATCAGGGCGAGCACTCACTGGTGGTAGAACAGGATTCGGGTTGAAGATCTACAAAGACATAATAGTATCTTAAAATTTTATGTCGCAGGACCACCAAAAAAGATACAGTAATAAAAATGGAAAAACTTTAACTTCCAAATTACCATGCCCGATATCATGCACATTTGTGCAAGCTCAGAACAGAATCCCCGCGCAACACTGTCTTGCACATTGCGAGAAAAGTTTATACAGATCCAGTTGTTCACTGTTCCTCCATTAACCATTTTCTGTCAACAACAATAAAGTAGAGTAAATAACCAAAGCACATCCAACACTGACTGAAATTCAACAGAAAGGCAGCTTATTTGAGATATAAAATTAGCATAATTCTTATGTTAAGCTCCAACATTGACTGAAAATAGACACAGGATAGAGCAAAAAAATGTACTTCAGAGAAAAAGGAAACTATGAACAGGAAGTGGAATCCATCCAGAACTCTTATGCACCTCCCAACTGTTTCATTGATACTACTCCCTTTCATTGTCTTTCAGTGCCTAGCTATCACCAGAAGTCTTTCCTTGTTCAAACCCCGCTATACACTTTTATGGTTATATCATCCTAAGGTGCAGCTAAGTAGATTGATCTTATTGACGTTGATCAAACCGTGGGATCAGAAAACTGGAATTTAGCTCTGCATCACTAAGGGTACAGCATAACATACACTGTCTGGAATGGGTAATAAAGAGTAACCAAACTAATTTTTGACCACCAATACATGATGAAATTGCTCCAGGATATCTACAAGATTAAAAAGGAAAGGACAAAACACAGCACACTTTTAAGTTCCTTAAGGTTAGTTATTCTATCATAAGCTATATCTAGTAAAGACAGGTATAAATAAGGCAAGAACAACTAAACTGATACTTCACTTGGGGACTTAAAATAGTAATTAGAGGCCAAGCAAGACTAATCTTGTGAGAACACACACCAATAGATGGCATTTAACTGCAAGGAAATGAGAGTCAAACTGGCAACATGAATCTCAATCACGCAAATATCACTTACCTTATTCATCATATTCCACTGGCCCACTTGTGGCAGACAGTCTTTTTCTCGACCTGTATCATGGTATTTAAGCTGCAGAAACAATAAACATAATTTAAGAATCATAAAATAAACTTAATTCACTCCACAAAGCAAAGAATTGAAGCAAGAGTATCTAAATCCAGAAGGATAAGGGCCACCCATCATCCTCAATGACATGATCACAACAAAGAAAAGGAGAGCTATAACTTACCCAAGGTGCAGGCAAAATGCGAGCCTCAACTTGAGCAAGCTTCTCGCTAATCTTAATACCAAATTCCCTCGCATATGGGTCATCAGCATAAGCATTGTGACGAACAGTCTAACAAAAGAAAAGGGTTAGATTGTGGTAAATACAGATCATGGTAAATACAAATAATATTGCAAAAAGGCCAGAAATTTATCCTCAAAAACAATAATTATTCTATGATGCACAAACAGCAGAGATGAATAGTGAAAAGGCAGAAGTCAACAAAACCTGTTTTAATTCACAGTAAACTAACTGACTAGAAACAGCATTAATATTATGGAGATTACAGACCTTCTGTTTGTATCACCATGAACTACACTTCTTAATACACAAAACAAATATGAATCCTTACTCGCTCATCCCAACTCCCTTCGCCATGGGTTTTACATTTAAAAATTAGAAAGCACATGGAAAACCTGGAAAGTTACTACCATATTGTCATTGTATGCCTCTTCATGGTAGAAAATAGGATGACGTAGGTCAGTACATCTTTGAAAGCTCAGATGG